AGGGAGATTTTAGGCTGTTGTCATTCATTTAATTATGCCATTAACTTGTAGGATAAGACTTGCTTGATTGCTGATTTACTGACAAGACCTGGTGATGCCCAAATCTTCAAAGATCTTCATTTGACTTACGGTCAAACAGCCGTGTTTAAAAGGGAATTCTCACTTTTTAAGCAAGTTGTGTCAACAGCTACCCTGTCAGTACCATTCAAGCCTAGTCTTTTGTCTAGCTTTCATCAAAGTAATAAATATCTTCAAAGGTTATCAAGTTCACTACCCAACCATAATAGTAACGAATTGAATCCTTGAATCGTAAAGCATAAAGCACAACAATATTGAAAACTTCTCTCGTTGGTAATCCAGTCACCATTCGAATAACTTCTTCACTTAATGTGGACGCACTATAGTGATTGCGGTGGTAGGACGCTTTTTCTTTGTACACTTCAAGCTCTATACTCTTGCTCTGTAATTCAGCTTCCAACAGAATTTGAGCTACCGGTTTTCTGTTTATCGCTGACATTTCATTTGCGGTTTTCCTTTCCTGCTCTCGATATTGCTGAACCATTTCTTCCACTGGGTTATTGCTCGCATCGCTACTTCCTTTTCTCTTTGCCGCRCCCYCCTTCCTCTTCTCGGAGTAGTCGTCTGGTGGAAACATAGTTCTCTTGTTCCTTTGAAAGATCTCTGAACCGTTTTCTTTCAATCCGTATCTGAAATGGCAGTTGCATACTCGAGAGTGATTTCCAGGAAGTTTATCAGCCCGCCTACAGAAAGAATAACACAAGTCAATGATGAACACAAGTCAATGATGAACTTTGAAGTACTTTGCAATCTTCGAGAACCGCTCATAACAACGTAATCTTTGATATAACGGAGATAAATCTTACCTTAATAGTTTAATCCACCTCGTGTACTCTTCTTTTTTCTTTTTTTGACTTGGAAATCCAAAAAATCTACATGTATGGCTCTCAGAAGTATGTCTACAATCTGGTGCAAAGCACTGAACCATGTTGACCCGCGGAGTATTCGTAACGCCCACTTTTTAACGTTAAAAGTCAAATTATATCAAACCGATCCGYATAATAATAAAATCTTGTAAAACAATACAGCCCGGTTGCTTTAATTGGGCCCCTATTTTGACTTGAATAGAAGTTTTAAATATGAAATCCAAGGTTAATTCTTCAAAACAATGGCTCGACGCTAATGGCGACTCGTCAAGACAGTTTGGTTAGAACAGAAAACTTTGGTGTCATGGCAACGTGACGTCAGACTTAAGGACACTATACACACACGGTATACAATTTTGGAAAATTTTCGGCCGGCAAATGCAATTACAAGTGAAACAAGCGAAAAAATTGGTCAAGTTGACGTGTGAGTTGGTTAATGTAAACACCTGCGGTATTGAATTTTGACCCGATAATGGAGAATAATCGATGATCGACTGCACATTGAAATACTTCGATTTCGAGCTTGAAATTCGATAGAGATAATATTTGTTAGCATTTCAATTAGAAAATGAAGTTCATTTMAAAACAAAAATAGGTACCAGGAAGATTTTTCTGCCGATAAACATAGGATACATATTTCAAAAGATTTTCACAGCCGTGTGCAAAAATTTGATTTATAAAAGATGGAAAGAAAAATCTGTTATTTATTAGGCTGCCGGTCATTTAGGATTTTGATATTGCGTGACCGGCAGAACGCCGTGTTGGTTGAGATTTTTCTCGAATAGAGAAATGTCTCTATAGTATCATGAAAGTTTCAGAAATGTTGATTATGTTGTTTTAACTCTTTAAGAGTGGATGTCCGTAATCATCAAGCATTTTCGAAAATAAGTGGCAAACCTTGAAAAATCGATTTCGTTCATACTTATACTATTGATAGGGTAGAGTGTCCCTATAAACGCTGTGTAGTTAGTTTGGCTGAATATCGTGTTTTGGGGGAGATATATGCAAATTAGTTGAGGGCACCAAAAATTGTAGATTTCAAGGCAAATTTTGGTCCCACTTTGTGAGCTCGCTATGTCAATTTGAGTAATGCAAGCACAAAACTAACTTTGGATCATTGTAACGCAATGTTTTCTTTACTCTGTGCTTGCTTTTCAGCCCGGTACGGCGTTTATTTCGTACCGAAATAATTTTATTTTCGAAGACGATATTTTTGTCTAGAAAAAGTATACCTTACAAAAATATCAATAGCACAATTGCTTAACCTTCAAAGTCCTTCAAACTTCGAATACAGAGTCTCCAAAGACAGATCTTTCAAACAATGTAAAGTTTTCTTTGGGCAAATGTTTGTACGCGACGCTACGTGACGCCAAAGTTGCTTAAAATTGGGCATAATTGGACCTTAAAGTTCGTCAAAAGCAAAGTTTAKCAGAACAAAACTTACTCAAAACATGCTAAATGAAGAAATCGATTCTAGTTTGGAGTAGATACGAATATACTGCTCTCTATAAATACATGAAACGTATCCCATGTAACGAAAGTGTATCAATTTACACTAAGCTAGCAACTTGTCAACACTGAAACACACAGGGAGCCCATTCAAAACTTTTGTCAAACTTGTTTGTATTGTTTATACGATCATTATGGCTTGTATTCTATTCTCATGTTTTCTAGTGGATTTTAGTACATACTTAGAAAAAGTAGATGTAGATATGTACAATCCTTGATAGCGCATGTAACAATAACAACCAATATATTTTTGCAAAAAAATTCAAATTGTCTTTTCAGATTTAGTTTCATTAGCAGCTATATTSGAATAATTATATTGTAATAAAGTTATGGTATTTAACAATTGAAAACAAAATTTTTACAACATAAAAGATGCAATTTAGTGACCATTTGGTTGATATCACTCAACTAGAACAAAACAGTACAATAAACACTTTGAGCAACAAANCGACAGCACTCGGTTCCAGTCCATGCAGACTTCCAAGACTCGTCACGACAGCACTCAGTTCCAGTCAACGCAGACTTCCAAGACTCGTCACAACAGCACTCGCTTCCTGTCCACGCAGAGTTCCAAGACCCGTCACGACAGCACTCAGTTCCAGTCCATCCAGAATTCCAAGACTCATCACGTCAGCGCTGTGTTCCAGTACACACAGTCTTCCAAGACCCGTCACCTAAGTGCTCGGTACCAGTCCACACAGACCTCCAAGAGTTGTCACGTCAGCGCTTCCAAGACACATCATGTCAGCGCTTGGCCCCAGCCGCTGCAGACTTCCAAGACTCTTCACGACAACGCTCGATGCCAGAAAGAGAAAACTATCGGGAACTGCTACAACAACATACAGTCAACTATCAAGTATCAGTGCAAAGACCTACGAAACCAACAAGAGTAAACTACCGAGGGTCAACACCAAGATATACTCTTCCAGCTCCAGTAAGCTACCAAGAGCCACTTCCCTACACTCCATCGCCAATTGCCTTAGGCAAAGACGGTGTGCAACACCTCACGGAAGCTTTGGCTAAGGTCACACAACTCCAACATCTTCCACAAGCGAAACCGGACATCTTCAAAGGAGACGAATCAGATACGAAGTTATTTATATGGGAAACAGCTTTCGACGCGCTAATAGATTCTGCTCCAATCAGCACCCAGCAGGAACTCTATCTTCTATACAGCATCTAGACGGAAGATAAAAAAGAAACAGTGGAGCAGCTGTAATTCATGGTTGGTGCTGATCCGGACCTAGCCTACGAACAGATTCAGATTCAGATTCAGATTTATTATAACTTCGGTGTAATATTTGACAAAAACACATATAACCTGCATATAGCAAAACGGCTAGTCTAGGCAGGTTAGATGTTACGAAAAACTTAAAAATATTTTACAGTTGAGCAATAACAATAGAAGAGTATGAGGAAATATATACTTGATAAATACTTGATAACTATATACGGGAAAGAAAGAAAGAAAAAAAGAAAAATAATAATTTGAGGTAAAGCGTCTTATTATTAAATATTATTACTATATTTTGTTTGAACTATTACTTAAATAATTTTGAGATTTCAACATAGTAACCATTTTTTCTTAAATAGTCAAATAAACTTAGACGAACTTCTTTTTTGAAGCGAAATTTCAATAGTGATCTYAAAGAAACTGGGATTTGATTCCACAATCTTACGCCCACTCGAGAAAAGGAATCTMTTTGTAGATTCAACCTGGAAAATCTCGTATAAAGATTATTATTGTTTGTAGAAGATCTGGTTTCATAAGAATGAATCTCTTTGGTACTAGTAAAAAGCGATTTTAAGTTCCTAGGAGCACTGTCATTGATTATGTCATACATTAATTGTGATACAGAATC